CTAATTACATGCTTATCACTTGCATGAAGAACAAATACTCTTTAAGTCTTGGTGTGTAAGGTATATACATTTTAATTCAGTGCTGTGAGTGTGGGCATTACAACTTACATTGCCACATCTGCATTCTTTTTTAGTTGATATTTAGATGTAGAAAATATAAAATTGCTATTGCAAAAATGACTGCCTAATAAGATTAGTCTTTGTATTTTCAAGTTATTTCTCCTGTAGTGTAGAAGGAATTAAAGTATATGATGATGGGATTGGGAGGCAATAGGTGGTAGAGTGTTTGCCTCCAATATGCAAGGCCGCCCGAGTGGGTTTGATTCCCTAGTACTACAAGAAAAAACAATAAAACCAGACACCTTCTTCCACAAACCTACTTGAAAACACATACTGTCACTTCCATCAAATCAAAACAAACTGGTGCTTGCTTTAGCAGCACATATACTAAAATCTGAACGATACAGAGATTAGCATGATCCCTGTACAAGGATGACACCCAAATTCATGAAGTGTTCCATAAAAAAAACAAACTAAAAACACAGAAGTCCTTAAGATAACAAAGGGAAAGCATGTTTTATAACTATTTGTGCATGACCAAGAATAAGGATTAAAATATATTTTAGTTCTGTCCATTCTACCTGACTTTGGAGACAACAGTGTAGCATTACAGACTAATAAATGGTTTGGTGTAGTACTGAGAGGTATAACCCATGTGGAAGGAAATGTATACCACAAATAGTATAAGGCCCACATTCAAATACAGAATATGGAATACAACTTGGGATAAAGTGACCAAAGTCATACCAGGAATATAGGTTTTCTGACTGTAAATGTATTGTCTGGTAATATAATGCATTCAAGATTCTTCTTTGCTTGAGTTGCAAAAACATCTTACAATAAAGCAAAGTTTTTAACTATTTTTTTTAAGCCATCATTGAAAGAGAAAAATGTTTCCCAGTTTTTTCTTAAAAATCTTTTAATAAGGTATTGTCCAGAAACTCTGTTGTCCCTGAGCTAGCAATTCTAATTATTATGTCAAGGGTAATTAAGTTTATGTATTCTCAAAGCCACTCTAATCCTTCCATCTCCAGATTGCAGAATACTTCAGAGCAGTGGCCTCCCACTTATGAAGCAAATTTTCAATCCGAATACTTGAGCATCTTGGTACATTGTTTCTGTTTGAATTGGTCGAAAGAAGCTAGTAGGATTATTGTTTAAGACATTACATTCTGTTACTATGAGCAAGGCAAGACAGTGATTTTGGTTTCAAAGGGTTCAGGAATTTGTAGGTCAGCAACATAAAGGATGTTTATCTTTGGTAAGATTACTTTCTGAAAAAATAGATTCATACCCATATGGATCCACTGTGCTATGGCTTTATAGTAGTTACAGTAGGTGCTAAATTTTCACATCAGCCATAATGACATAAACTAATGTCTATATGACACTTAGGAAAGGTATGAGTTGCTATTATAATTGACATGGCTGCTACTGCATTGTAAGTGGTCCTGTTCTGGTGAAATAGCTAAAAGTATTACTAGTAAAGTGAAATTCTCAGTGAATTACAGGAAAAAATGTAAGGTTGTAAGTAGCTAAGTGTCAAAAACTAGGCTTTTGGGAAGTTGACCTGTGGTCATTGCAACCTGGTTTTCCTAGTATTCCAAAGCGATGTTGTGTTTCCTGGCAACAAGATGCAGATAACGGCATGTTGAGCCTTGCTGAGCGATTCACAAACAAGTTGGAGCAGCCTAGGTTCACATGGTTACCACATTATTTGGCTAAAGCTATTAATCTCTGTGGTCAGGCCTGAACAGATTGCACATAACCAGGAAATGTGTGCTCAGCTGTGTATATGTCCAAATTAGACTTAGTCTTAGGATTCAGGAATAGTGAATGAATGGCATTTGCTTAATCTACCTGTTTTCAGTAGTTTGTATGACTTAATTACTATATCACATCATTTTGAAGAACTTGAGGAAAATTCATAATTCTTGGTCTCTAGCAGAGACAAGTCAGTTTCAAACTCTGTAGATAAAATTCTTTTTCTTTGCACTTGTGAGACTTTTAATACCTAAGGTAATAAAAATTGGATGGGTAGTGTTAATTTTGTTTTCAGGATTGAAACTGTATAGGAATTGAGTCAGATGAGTTTATAGGTTCCTTCTAGCTCTTTAGTTAAGATCATGCTAAATACTAAAAACACATAGAAGAGATCATTTCAGTAACAAATGCCTGTTAGAGTCATTGCAGCAAATGAATGCACCTTTTTGCTTTCTCTACTTTTGTACTTCTTCTATAGATGTTTATTGCCAACATCAGCTAGAAACTAGTGTGTCTGAACTCCAAATTTGATTTTTAGACTTCTTCTGTACACCAAATAGGCCTTCAAGAATTTCTACGTTTAAAATATGAGAACAAGTGCTCAAATTTAGATTAAGAAAATATAATCTCAGCTGGGTGAAGTGGTGCACGCCTTTAATCCCAGCACTCGGGAGGCAGTGGCAGGTGGATCTCTGTGAGTTCAAGGCCATCCTGGTCTACATAGTGAGTTCCAGGATAGCTGGGGCTACAGGGAGACCCTGTCTTAAAAAAAAAAGAAAAGAAAGAGAGAGAAAGAAAGAAAACAAAATATAATCTCTAGCAGTTTAGACATTCATCCTTAGTACATGATGATGTTGGAGGCAGAACTAAGCAATTGTAAAGGCACTTTGCTAATTGTAATACTATTGTCTAAATTGAAATTTGTGGAGGCAGTGCAAATCTCTTTAGCCACTGGTTTCACATAACATTCATTTCTTTAGAGTTTGTCAGAAACTCTCTAGATATGCCACCCATTGAGAAGGAAGGCATCCATAAACCATATTTGGGGGGTTACCTGCTGATGAAATTATGACCGAAGAGTCTGATTCTCAATTTGTTACAAAAGAATGTTGGAGTATAGCATGGTTACTCTTCCTAAAGACAGAGGTGGTGGCGTTTTTTGTTTTGATTTATTTTGATTTGTTTTGTTTTGTTGTGATGTTGAGATGTGGTGTAGCCCAGGTGGGCAATAAAGTCATGGTAATCATCCTACCTCAACTTAAGTGCTGTGATTACAAGTATGAGCCATTATGCCCTACTCAGTTTTCTTTTGAAATTAATATTTATTGATAATAGAATTTTGCTTGTTTAAGACTCAAGCTTAAAATGTTGTCATAGTTGCTCTTTTTCTTGGGTCCGTGGCACTGGCAGCATGGGCGAGTGTCCTGGTCTGCATACTGCCAGGAAGCTCCGTAGTCCCTGATGGGACCAGAAGTGGCATGATAAACAGTACAAGAAAGCCCATTTGGGGACAGCCTTAAAGCCAACCCATTTGGAGGTGCTTCTCATGCCAAGGGAATGGTGCTGGAAAAGTAGGGGTTGAAGCTAAACAGCCCAATTCAGCTATCGGGCAGTGTGTCGGGGTCCAGCTCATCAAAAATGGCAAGAAGATCACAGCCTTTGTGCCCAGTGGTGGTTGACTGACTTCATTGAGGGAAACGATGACGTTCTGGTTGCTGGATTTGGTCGGAAAGGTCATGTAATTGGTGATAGTCCTGGAGTCCGCTTTAAGGTTATAGTAGTCAGTGTGTCTCTGGGCCTGTACAAAGGCAAGAAGGAAAGACCAGGATCCTGAATGTTGATGATGGAAACACAGTAGTAATACATTTTCTGACAAAAAAAAAAAAATGTTGTAGTCTTAGTTGCGGTGTGATTTTGAGTGCTAAGGGTTCATCCAAGTCTTTTTAATGTATTCAAGGGCAATGCCAACAGCTTTATGATAGAAGACAAAGAAAAATGCATATTAATGGTAGTAGAAAACATATATAGTGCTTTATATGATTTAGCGAATTATCTAACTTAGAGCAAGCTCCTGACTGAACTTGATTAGAATAATTAAATTAGCCAAGTTAGCTCTGGTCTACACAGCTGTGATGATGTATGAACTAACTCATTGTGTGTTATTGTTAATACTGGACAGAGGAGAACAGCTGAAACTTAACTATGCCTTGTGAGTTTTTGGTAGTTCTTGAATAATCAAAGCTGTATGAGTTTGAATTTATTTAAAAATTCCTGTGTAAGAGAAAGAGAGCTCCATAAGCAAGAACTTGTTTGAAGTGACTTTTAAAATGGTGCCTTGTGCTTTAGGATAAAACAGTGCAGTGAATTATTTTTTTCTATCTCTTTATGCTGCTATTTACATATGAAATAAAACTAATTGGCTTCTATGTGTACTAGTCTGGAAAAGTTAGTGAGTCTGTGTATGGCTATCATAAGAATCAATAGCAGTCATTCATTTACTTCCTTTCTGGCTTTTCATCAATAAGTAGATTACTTTTTGAAGCAGCTGTCACCTGGCTTCAGGTTGAGGTCAGTCATTTTCCAATGTATTTATGTAATGAAAATAAACCTTAGAAAAAGCAAAGATTTATAATTTATTAAATCAGACAGTTGAAAGAAACAGCTTGTAAAGTTATCTGGCAATTCCTAAAAATAATTGCATGATACATAATGTATTTTATTATTGAGTTGAATCCAAAGCTTCTAATTTTATTATACATAAAAATAAATAACACCAGCATGTAAGAAAACCTTTTTATTTTTCACATAGCAGGCATCCAAAAGATTACTTTTGACTAACTCTGCTATGTCCTTAAAAATCTGGTTTGTATTTCTTGTTCAACTATAAAATTTGTAGATTGTAGATGTACATTCTACCATAAAGCAAAGGTAAATTCTCTGTGTTTGATCCCGGTTAGTGATCCATTCTTTATTCCAGTTTTGAGTGCTATTTCTAAAGAGTGAAATAGTATATATCTTATATAAACCTTGACTACTGAAAGATCGCTACCAAAATACATACATTTGAGATTATAATGATTAATCTCTTATCTCTGATTGAGGCCACTAGATTGTACATTCTTTGTCTGATGGGGATGGTTCTGGAATGCATTTAAATTAGGATGTCAAGTCCTTCTAACCTAGATCAGCAACCTGTAATAATTACCAGTCTTTGTGAGTGATGGAGGGAAAACTTAAGTGCACAGAAAGCGGGGAAACACTTTGAGCTTCATCATGATTCTGGCACAACTTTGTGAAAGGCTGGCTCAAAGTGGACACTGGTGAAATTGAAAGAAATCCACTTTGTAAAATAGGCAGAATTTCTCTTTTCTGGTAAGTGTGAGTTGCTTTGTATCTTTGAAAGATACCAGAATGCTGAAGTTTGAGCTATTTTTCTGTTAGATTTTGGGTTTGGGGTTAGGTAATAGCAAGGGTGTTGGGTTGAACTATGCTTTGCAACACCATAAACAAGACTATACAAAGGATGAAGGAGGCCTGAAATTCACCTTTTCTGAAGTAAACCACATTTTCTGTATGATGAATTTCTTGAACAAAACTAAATATTGCTTCCTTTTATATTATTTTTCATATGCCAGCTTTTATATTTAGGTTATTTATGACAGTGCTCTCCTGACCAGGAATTATTTTCTTTGCTAACTAGCCA